ACAGGGTGCCACACTGCTCTGCTCTACATTCTGAGGTTCCTAAGACGTACAATTTTTTAAACACAGTAACTTCTAAAAATGAAGCTGGTCCCCAGTCTTCCTAGATGTTTACATCCACCTGAGCAGGGAGGCCCTCGTCTCTCCATCCACCTCCTACAGCTGGCTGGGCATGAGACCTGGGACTGGATCCTGAGGAGGCAGCTGGGCATTCACCTTGCCCCTTCCCGCTCTGGGGGTTGGCTCAAGGAGCCACACTGAACACTGAACAGACAACACAGGGTTCAAGCCAACACTTTGCCTGTCCGAGCCAGCACAGTCCTGGCCATCCCTGCCCACAGGTGGCACCTCTTGGATTATCTAAGAAGAAACCAAACCCTTCTATACCCTCATGGGCAAAGCCCATCCTCCAGTCCATTGTAATGTAAAGGTGCAGGTGTGACTGATGGGTGCTGCCCCAAACTGACAAAGACAAAATTCACCTCCACCCTCAAAGGAGGGTCTGAGCTGGCCCAGGGATAAGGGAGGCTCAACAGGAATCCCACACAAACCTGGGCCATGGCTCTTATGGAAGTTGGGTGCTCAGACCCAAGGGAAAAACAGTGACAGCCCAAGTGTTCATTCAGAGTGCCAGGCTGTGGTGGCTAGTGCCATTATTAACCTACTGTGGCCCAGACAAGCACAGTGGCTCATCCAGGGCAGCAAACTTTTTGATCGCCAGGCAGGGTCCAAACTCTACCCTTGGCCTCAGAGTAAGAAAACCATAGGGCTGGACACAACCACATTCAATTAGCTTCCTCTCCTGCCCAAACAATGCCTGGCTCCCCAAGGGCTCCCAGGCTCCCAGCACTGGGTCTGGCCCTCCCTCTGGCCCCACCTGTTAAGCCTCAAAGCATGCTTGGCATCCCTAAAGACAGCCTGCTCCAACACAGCTGTGCCAGCCGCACTTCCAGTGGAAGGTGGCCAAGGCCACGCCTCCACATGCTGGCAGGGCTGGCCTACAGCCGCCATCCACATGCCTCGGGGAGATTCTCTACTGGACGCAGGTGCCTAGTTCCCAGCCCTGCAGAAAACAGTACCAGAGCCTAATTTGGAAGTCTCAGACATTTTTAAATGTGAAGGTTACTTTAAGATTCCTTCAAGACCTCTGCCCCAGATTCAGCAGCTGGAAAGGAAGCCCAGGCAGTCAGTGACAAGAATGGAAACACTTGGCCATCATCTTTGGAGGTCTGTAGCTACTTCTTCCCAACTGTTAGATCCTGGGAACAGGGTCACTTTTAGTGCCTCAAGGATTCACAGGATACCAGCTTACACCTCAAGACAGGCTTCTTCATGCAGATATCTGATCACTGTCATCACAAAAGATCTTCAGGTCTCCCAACAGCCTCTCAGTCCCCAAGAGTCCTCTGCTCAAGAAATGAATGCAAGGACAGTCTCAGTAGGTATCAGAGGAGCTGGAGAATCCCCCACTTGCCTTAACCAAAACAAAACTTTTCCTGCTTCAGGAGGTTGGGCTCACTTCCAGTAACTCTCTGTTGAGGACACCAAAGGATGGATGTTGGGTGGAAACTCTGCTAATTGTCCTGTCACCCTTCCACCTCCAGTAGCCCAAACACTGGGAACAGAGGCTCAGGCAAGTCCAGAAGGCGGCAGCCAGAGGAGCTCCCAGTAAGAAATGTCCAAGGCTGAAAGGGGGGCGGGACTTCCAGGAGGAAGGGTGAGCAGGAGCATAGGGAGAAACAGGGTGGTCCCACGAACTGGCAGGGCATGACACACAGGGTGGCCTTCAGGAGGCAGCAAAAGAAACCACTCACGACTGACAGGAATAGGGAGGAGCTGCAGATACCAAAACGAGATGGAGGCATGAGTGAGGTGGGGGAGAGGCTGACAAAGCACTTGCTGCATGCCAGGTGCCATGCCCAGTCTGACACGCAATTCCACCCAGCACACCTCAGAGACAAGGGTGGTGACACTCCAGTGCTCAGCACTATTTGAGGTGGTGCAAGACAGTGAAGGCATCCAGACCTATACATGGAGCCCAACCTCAGGTGGAGCCAAGACTGTTCCTATTCCTCTCCCAACACAGTCTCCTCTCTGATGAGAACCACAGAGCACCTGAACTCAGCCCATTCACCTATAGTACCTGCCATGCCCGTCAGCCCAACACATCTCTCTCCTGGAAGCTGCAGCTGAGGATACAGTACAAGATATTCCATGGCCACTCAGGACCACCAACACCACCAACATCATGTGGCTGACCAAAGTCCATCTAATTCTCCTCCACACCATGCTGGGGAAGGCGAGAGGGCATAGTATAATTTAGAGAAGATGTGGGCTTTTTTGAGTCAAACTCAAAAAATCATCAGCAAAATGGGCCATGGGTGGCCTCCCTACCTCCAGCCCCAGCCAACATGAGGTCACAGACATCCGCCAGGGAGAAAGGCAGCAGGCCAGCCCTGACTCCATTCACCCACCACAGGTCTCTCCTCCACTTTGGTCATAAATCCACTCACTTGGGACCAGTCAGCCAGCTTCCTTCCCTCAAAGATTGTTTTATCTAGAAATACCAGAGAAGCATAACTAATTCTATTTGTAGAATAATTTATTAGTAATTACACTCACTTTATTTTAAGAAATAACCTTAAAATAACTAAGATGGTTCACCTGTCTATGGGAGAAAATCCTTCACAAATATTACCTCCTGAAATCCTGACTTTTAAAACAAAACCTGATGTTTCCATACTGACCAAAATCAAACATGTTAGCAAGAACCTATGCTGGCATGGATGTGCAGAAAAGGCACAATATTCATGGGAGGCAAACTATGAACAAAATTTTGGCAACATCTGCTGAAATTGATGCACATTCCTCTATACTCTAGTAGGACTTTCAAGCAGAAACCCTATTCCAGCTTACAAAAGTGAGAGGAGCAATTTGTCCAGGGCCATGTGGCCAGTGTATAGAGGAGACAAGAGATGACATTAAATTGAGCAAGCAGACACCTAAAGAGCACCAACAGAAATGGTTTACGCCTTTTTCCCCATTCTGCTAGGGACTTGCCCTCCAGCTACATGCCACAACATTATGCCATGATTCTTCACTGTGCCAAAAATGATTATGTCCATAATAGCGAAGAGCTAACAAATTGAAGGCCGGGAAATGGGGACGAGTCAAGTCAGCAACAGTTTCTTCTCACAGTGGATACCACTGAAGGAAAGCTGTTATCACACAAGGGGACTGCGGGGGCTGCCTAGCAGGGTTCACACACACTGTGTGCGCAGAGGTAAGAGTGCTCTGATAGTGCTGCAGACCTCCCAGGGGGCGGGTAGGCAATGGGTCCACAAAAGATCTTCAGGTCTCCCACAGCCTCACAGCCCCCAAGAGTCCTCTGCTCAAGAAATGAAGGCAAGGACATCCTCAGTAGGTGTCAGAGGAGCAGAATCCCCCAGAAATAGGATGAAAGCATTCAAGCCACATTCTCACAGTCCCTGGCCTTCCTCTGTCATATCTTCCTAACTCAAGATGAGGGACCTTTACAGGAGGGACTACATCCCATCCCTTGTGGATCCAATGCCAGTGGGGCCTGGCTTGGAGAAGGTGACAGTACTTCCTGACAAACAACAGGGTCAAGTCCTCAAGATCTCGTCCAAGGACCCAGATCCCACCTGCCCAGAGGGGCAGTAGTTTTCTGTTACTAACCCAGAACTTGCTGTTTTTTCTGCTTTGATTTAAAGATTAATTCATTTCCTCCTCTCCACTATCACAGACAGGTATCCTATTTATCTCCCCCAGGAAGGCAAAAAAAAAAAAAAAAAAAAAGCCTTCATAGAGTCAAGATATCTGCCCAATGTTGGCTAGAAGCAGAAGTGCCAGGAGGTGAGCCCTGTGATCAAGAGCCAAGATTAGGATGGGTTCAGATGGGGAAGGGGACACATCAAATAAACTGGTTGCCTGACCCCACACACCAAGTCTTTCCAAACACACAACCCTCAAAACAACCCCTTCTGAACCAGCAATGCTGCACCCCATTTTGCAGAGGAGGAAGGTCATCAGGGAGTGCCCCTACCCACAATCATCACTAGCACGGTGTAGTTCCCGGGTCCAATGTGGACTGTATCCATCCAGAAAGTTCATTCTCTCTCCTCAATCTCCACTACAGGGCTGAGGAGTCAGGGAGGATGGGAGAGGCACTGGTAATTAAACCATCCCAGGAGAACTGCCCAGGCCCCTCCTTCCGCCCCCTCCTGCAAGCTCTCAGTCAGCCTGGGGGTCTAACCTCCTTTCTCCACAGTGGGAATGACACAGGCCACCTAGATTTCCGTCCAGAAGGAACACAGACACCACATTGAGGGGGAGGGAAGGACAGGAAGTGGGCGAGGGAGCCATGCATCCCAGGCAGTGAAAGCTCAATCACGGTGATGAGGACAGAGCGCTGGGCCACAGAACAGGACACTGGGGGACTCCGGCCTGCAGCAATGGCCATGTACAACCAGAGCCCCGACTCCCTCGGGCTCTTTCCCGGCCTCTGGACACTCACAGTAGGAGATGAAATGGGCCGAAAGCAACCATGCTAAGAGAGGGGAAGTGATTTGCTTGAAGGTGACAGCAGCGGCCACCCAGTCCCAGGCTCTGTCTTGCCCAGCGGGTCACCTGCGTCCGTGGCCTTAGCCCTGGACTCAGTCTTTGCCCGCCCACCCTCACTCTACACACAGACACACCCAGGGCAGCGACGAGAACCGCAAGCATCAGCCCTTACGAAGGTGCCGCCAAGGCCAGCAGAGAAGCAGTCCGGCAGGCAAGGAAGTCTGCAAGGCGCCCTGCAGCCGCAGCCGGCCGAAGCCAAGCCCACTCCCACACCCCGCCCGGGACCACAGCTCTCGGCCCCGTGCCCCCGCGTCCACACCCCTAGCAACCCCCGCTGGGCAGGATGACCTTATCCCCACAGGCCCCAGCCCACCAGGGTCGCGGGACATGGTTCGCCCTAGAGTCCGGCGGTGGCTCACCTCTTTGAGCTGCTCCATCTCGCTGCGGATGGCCTCATAGTCCACCTCGAGCTCCTCAAACTGCAGCTTGAGCTGGTGCTTCTCCTCCAGCACCGCCAACCCGTACTCGGCCGCCTGGATCTTCTCGCGCGTGGTCTCTGCCAGTTCGTGGGACAACCGCTTCACCTCGGCGCGCAGCCACTCGGGCTGCGCCTCCATCACCAGCCGCGCGTACTCCTCCTCCTCCGACGGCGCCGACATAGTGGCGGCGCGCCGAGGCCGGTCCACCCCGCGGCTCCCGCAACCGGGCCCTCCTCAGCTGCCGCCGCCGCCGCCGCCGCCGCCCAGCCCCGACGGCCGTCCGCGCCGCCGCACTGCTCCTCCCCGCCGGCCGCAGAGCACACTGGGGACTGAAGTCCTGCGCCGCGCCGACTACATAACCCATCGGGCCCCGCGTCCACCCGGTCCCCGGCCCTGATTGGTCCGCGCCCTGCGGGGGCGGACCCTCCGGCGCCGTCGCGAAGCCGACACCTCCCGGGGCATTATGGGGGTTGCAGTTCGGTCCGCACGCCTACTACAGGGCCCGTCGTGCCCCGCGCCTGCCCAGCCCCCGGCGGTGATTGGCCCGCGCCGCCGAGGTCGCGGACTAGCACCGGCTTCTGCGGACACTCGTGGATTCTGGTGGCCCGCGCGGAGTACCCCTAGGCTCGAGTTCCCGGCAGTATAAAGAGCAAGGCAGCTCTCGACGCCAGGAGCGTCAGTGTACAGCTTGTGATCAAAGCCTGGAGACCGTGTGACGGCTCGTCCAGGCGTCTTTGGGTGCAAGTGTGGAAGGCTGCTGGTGACGCCTAAGGGCGCTGGGAGTCCAAGGGAACCTGACCTAATCACTGCTTCCTCTCGTGACCTCCAATCCTTCAAAGCGTGTTTCATGGGGATGAAGACATTCTGAGAGCACAGTGCCATAGATGTGTTTAATAGAGTTTCTGCCTGGCACCCATTTTCAGGCATGACTTAAATTATTTGCTACATCATACGCTTCATCTGTGCCTAGATGAAACTAACCCTCCTTGTGTGTGGTATGGCTATAATTCTTCTCACTGTCCCCAAAACCTTCCCACATACCCCATAGTCGCGCACCCCCACAAAACCCAAACCTAGCGGTCCACCCCAGAGTCATGTAAATAGGTTCATTCTCCCATCCCGTTTTCTTTGAACCAGCCAATCCACAACTGCCCCACCACACACACCCCATAACAGATTTCCGTTTCACTTCCTCATTTTGTCGCACCTGACATAACACCTGAAGCTAACTACGCTCACCTCCATCCCTCTACTAGAAAGTGGCCATGTCTATCTTGGTTTATGGTCACTCTTAAGAAACCCAAAATCAAATTAGAAAGAAATTATAACAATAAAAATCACAGCACACAGGTGCACAATCCATGCTTCAATTTCACTAGGGTCCCAGAACCATCCTGTAGAGCTTTTGTTTTTCTAATGCAGGATCCATATGCATTCAGTTCTCGGGTTTCCTTGGTCTTCTTCAATCCCACCCTTGCAAGGATTGCAGAGCAGTGATGTGCACTCTTGACATATCCTCATGGGTAAATTAGGTCATGCATTTTGGACCATCACTGAGTTGTTGCTAGTTCTCAGTGCACTTTGGAAGGCGCGTGATATGGATCAGCATCCCTGACTGCCGCTGGCTTTTTCCTTTGTGATTAGTGTCACAGGAGAAGATAGACCTTGCAAATATCCTGTCACTCCTCAAACATTTAGTTTAGCATGAATTGATATTTCTTACATGAATAAATCATTACCACACTAGTGGTTTTTCTGATTCCACCCATCCTTCATTATGAGTTGCCTTTGTAGTGAAAGAAAACTATTCCTTCTCATTCATTCATTAGCAATACGAATCCATGAATTCTTTTTACTCAGTGGGTTACAAAACATTACTCACCTTACTCTGATACTCAAATGTCAGCAAATTTGGCCAGTGGGAGAATTCCTCCAGATTGGTTCCATACCCTTTCAAAATGTCATAATTTTTTTAAAGCATTTTCTCACTTTCTGGCTTGAGTCATTCCAAGATTGTACTCTCTGAGTTCTAGACCTGCAACCAGGCATTTCCCCATGTAGCCTTGATTCTTTTTAGTGGTTCAATGTTTTCAGGAGAGTGTGTCATACTTAGGATTGTCATATTAAATGATATTAAGGAGTTCAGCCGTAGTAGAAGTGGGACATGATTGATGTGCCCAGTTGCTTGGACTGTCCTGGATTCACACTGAAGTTCCTACATCTTAGACCTAGGCAAGCTCTTGTATTAAGTGGGAGAGATTCTAGGGCAAAGGAGGAAAGAGCCTTGTTTGAACAAGTGCACAGCCTCGGCAATGCCTGCCAGACCTAGACTGGCCTACACTGGCGACCTCCCTACCCCTGTGCCACACTTGTCTATGGGACAGGTCTGAGGAGAGAGGGGAAAGGCCATGGAAATCTGGGGGCAGACACTGATCAGAGAATTTTAAACTTGGAGACAAGGTAGAAGATCTCATATACATTCAGTTATAGACAGAGCATCTGTCACTAACATTGTGGGCTTTCTTTCTGCAGGAGGGACAGCACTGAACAGTTTAGGGATGTGAGGGAGGAGCCTAGGATCCACAATGGTGACAAATAAGGGTGGAGGAATCAGGAAATGCTTTTCTGAGGAGGTGTTGCCTGAGGAAGGAAAGAGGATGTACAGGAATTGATCAGGTCAAGGCTGCAGAAATAAGGGACCCACAAAAACAAGAAGCAAGTGGCTCCCCCTGCCCCACAGACCGTGGGCCACCCCCTTGTTGAGCTCCTTCTCGGTTCCCAACATGGCCAGGTCCCTGACATGCATCAACTCATTGAGTCCTCACAATGTGACAAATTAGGCCATCTGTTTTACAATCAAGGAAACTTAGACTCACATCCGAATCCCTGGTATTTATCACCCTTCACCTCCCTTCACTCTGCCAGCAAACACTGCCTGCCCTGCTTCAGGACAAACTTCACATGAGAGCCTCCTGCTAGCCCCAGCTACCCTCCTTGGCCCCAACTCCATTGCCTCTCCCTGGATCACTATGTCACCTCTGCACTCCCCTCCCAACCTCACCACCACCACCACCACCACCACCGCAGTCTGTTCTCATATGGCAGCAAAGGGGTCCTAAGGTCATACCTTCTCTACTCAAATCCTTTCAGAGTCAAAGCCAAATCGTCACAGCCACCTCCCAGGCTCTGCACACCCCAGAATGGCCCTCCCTTTGCACCTCACCTCCCAGATTTGTTTGCTTTCCTCTGTTGGATACTATGTGCTGTTGCACTGTGGACCTCTCCCTAGAATGTTGTAATGCCAGATTCGTGGGACCCCAATAGACCTCCAGGAGCCGAATGCGATGCAATCACACAAAAGTCTTTATTGCAAGCTCGAGCCTGGACTCACAGCCGTTTCCCATGCAGTGGTCCCAGGGAGTGAGTCCTGGCCCTTTGTTCAGTTTATAGGTTTTGGGGGGATACTCTATGTGTCACAACATCACACAGCAAATCATTTCACACCACAGGAAAGTCAAACAACAACTCTTAACATTGATTAGCACATTCACTGGCGGGAACAAGTTGGGTAAGGGTGATTGGTTAGTACAAGAGGGGGGTTCCTTTGAACTGACTGGTTTAAGCCATGAGGGGTGTACGTGCTAAACTACATGGTTTCCCAACATGTTATCAACCACCATAAACTACTGGGGGTCATCTGGCATCCCAGGTATTTTCCCTATCTCATGCTGATTGGTGGTTGCTAGGAGGTTGCTATGGGTCCTCACCTAGCCTAACTGAGTCAAGGACACCTGGCGCTGCAGATCTCTCCTGTTATTTGCAGACATACAACTCAGCAGGGTGGGTATGTGCCTAGGAGTACTCTATGGGTTTTTCCAAGGACAAGGGTCATGTCCCCTTCCTTGGATAGGCTTTGCTCTGAGGTAGAGGCTTGCTGCAGTCTGGCTGGGCACAAAATAACTGAGCCGCCACAAAGCCTTGTAGGTTCAAATAGCAACTCTTTATTCCCGAACTCTCACCGGCACTCTACCCACACTTCCCAGGAATCCACTCCCTCCACCAGGCTCCGCGCGCCAATTCTCTTGGAATCCCACGGAGAACTCAATGGGAACTCCAAAGTAGCGGGCACCAGACAGAGGCAGCAGGATCCGCCCTAATCCCCGGAGCCGCCCTATTCCCAGAGCAGGGTCATTTTTCAACCATTCCCTCTGGCAAAATGCCAGTCATTCCGACTTAACTGTGGCTTTCAACATCTCCCCCCTTCTGTTTAATTAAACAACAAGCATGTGGCTTAGGGACTGTGCCTGTGTTAGGTTGTCCAATACTACATATGGTCTTTACCCGTCATCAGATGAGCTGACCTCAGGGCGTCAGCCTCCTGTCTTAGGTTGGTACCATTGCAATCGGATCTTACCCATCATTGACTACCGGTCCAGCATACAGCCATACTTGTGGATAGGCCTTTGCACCAGTGGGGGGGGTGAGGCTCTTTGCCTCACCTCTGTTGCCCCCAAATTCTAGACTATCACAAGCAGAAGGGAGGAGGATGCAAAATGCCACGGCACCAAGCCAAAAAATTGTACCACCGATGACACCATCAGCAAAGATACCCCAGCACTACCACAATTTGCTGCACCAACAGATAGTTCACAATGCATGCAAGTGATACATAGTCCAGGCAAGTTCTGCAAACAGTTCAAAGCAGAGGAATCTATTAATATGTCCATTTCCTCCCAAAGTAAATCGACTCCTTGATTGAGCATCACTTGCTGAGTTATTATTCATTGATGCATCAGTTTATACAGTTTGTTGTGATAGCTATCGCAGAAGCTGTAGTTTGGTTTTATCTTTGTCTTCACAGGCACTGGGATGAAGATAGGAATTCTGGCAATGATGGCTAAGAAAAATTATGTAACATTCCAGTAGGCACTAAAAGAAAGCAATTTTCTAAACAATTTACATAATTATGTAACATTCCAGCAGGCACTAAAGAAAGCAATTTTCTAAACAATTTACATTATCCTGAACAGAATTATTAAATATAATGAAAAGGAAAGGTAAAAGTAAACAAACAGATATGTTAACCTCCTTTTTTGTTCACATATTAAAAACAATCCTCAACAGCTGTTTACCCAATTTAAATTAAACCATTTAAATCACGTGAATAAAAAAAATATTTGGATCCATTTTTTCATGAGTGCTCCTTATATATGATATATGGACACATGCCCATACAAACATACAACACAAAACAC